TAAGTTAGCCATACCAGTCAAATTTTGTGCATCATTGTATGAAAAATTCAAAAGGTTGAGAATTCGCAAACCTTGATATTTGAGTTTGCTTCCCCGTTCCGCCGCCTAATTTTGCATACTCCACGGGGTGCTTTGCCTTAAGATGCCTTGCGGCAGATCCGTATCCGCCGGAGGTCCCCAAGCTATAATTTTTGTTGCACCACTTGCAAGTTGCGTACCAAAACCCGGTTTGGGCGTCCTTCCACTTATCAAAATTATTTTGCATTAGTTCAGATTTACTTTTTTCCTTACCGGGTTGGGATGAGGTGGGCTCATCCGCCTCGTCGTGGTTTCCGTCACCATCGCCCGTCTCCGGTTTAAGTTCATCCGCATCGTCATTCTTGAACTCATCTTCGTCAATGGTCGTCAGGATTTGTTCTTGATGGAGAAAGTGGTTATTATGTCGGGCCAATTCTTGTGGTAGTTGTTCTTCGGACATCGCATCTCCATCCCTCCTTTGGTAACCCGTTCCAAAATCATCTCGGTTTCTAGATGAAGAGCCAGCAAGTTCTTTACCTTCGCGGGATTTCTTCCTCCCAATCTCGTTCCTTCGGTTGCGCTCGAGGTTACCCATATCAACCGAATATCTACCACCTTCCATCTTAAAAATGTAAGAAATATTAATTTGCAACAAATATAATAATGAGTACAAAAATAATGCAACTAATTAAAACTATTTTAATTAATACTTCAAACTAATTTAGTGAAAACTACTTTAATAAAATGTGAAGTACTTTAATTAAGTAATAAATTAAAGTGTGACTCTAAAATAAAAATTTAAATTCGAACTAATCAATAGTATTTTTTAATAAATACTTAAAAGTAACAAGTGTGACTTTAATTAAAATGTGAGTAATTAAATTATAACAACTTTTCAAGTACTTTAATTTAGTGAAAACTACTTTAATAAAATGTTAAGTACTTAATAAAATTAATGGAACTACTCTTTGACTATAAAATTAGCAACTTTTTTCCTTCAAATATAAATTCAAACTATTATAATGTGACTTTAACTATAATGACAATTAACTAGTTTTTTTAAAGTAGAGACTAAGGTAGCAATTAATGGGAATACTAATTAACTAATTAACTACTTTAATGAAAAATGTAACAATTAGTGGGAATACTAATTAACTAATCAAGTAATGTTAATACAAAATGTAAGTAATAAGACAAATGTATGAATGTGTATACTAATTAATGGGAGTAAATGAGTAATAGAATGATTTTAACTAATATTAATTAAAATGTAACTAATATATAATATATTGTGTGAGTATATATATACTTAATATATTAATTAGATGTAATAAAAGTAATATATTAGTAAAAATCAAATATATATATATATATATATATATATTCGATTTTTACTAATATATTACTTTTATTACATCTAATTAATATATACTTAATATATATATATATACTTAATATATATATATAATTAATATATATATATATATATATATATACTTAATATATATATATATACTTAATATATATATATATATATATATATATATATATATATATATATATATATATATATATATATACTTAATATACTAATTAATATAGTTCAAATTAATTTGATATAATTCCAACTATATTAGTAGATAATAAGAATTGTATATAAGACTTTATTAGACTTCATAATAATTTGTAACTAATATATAATATAATGTTTATAGTATATAATATATAAGTATACTACTATAAGATGAGTAATACACTTATATTTAATACTTTAATATATAAAGTATATATTAAGTAGATGTAGAATGTATGTATTAAGTAGATAAAAGTAGATAATAAGTAGAGATTAAGTAGATAAGAAATATAAGTAATATAGTATATGTATTTATTAGTAGATAATTAATATATAAGTAGATATAATAATTGTATAAGAATTAAATAGTAAAATAAAATATAATGGAGAATAAGAGAATTTGAGAAGATGAAGATGGAGATGAGTAGAGAGTAAAGACTAGAGAGTAGGATTTAGGAAGAGTTGGAGAAGAGGTGTGGAAAAATGTTTAAAATTAGGAGTATTTATAGTTTTTTTTTACCCCCCCCCCCCCAAAGCCCCGGACCCCCTGGTACCAACCCAACGGCTATATAGCCGTTTGGGATGTGGGTCAAGAGCCAAACGGCTCTTTAGAGCTAAAAAGATTTTTTTTTAAAAAAATATAGCCGTTGTGACCCGGAACTGGGCCCGACCCGGGCCGGGTCACCAAACTTAAGAACCGAGCCCGGACCCGCCCCGCCCCCCGGTTCGAGCAACTACCCGGACCCGGACCCGAGAACCGGGCCGGTCCCGCACAGTAGCGGGCCGGGCCGGTCCACGGCCCGGGTGGCGTGACCCGAATCCAACACTAGGCACATACCTTTCATGTTTACCTTCACACTATCTAGCACCTACGCGAAAACGCGGAAACGGGTATAGAGGTACATCAAAACAAAAAAAGTAGGATAAATATCGGGATTATATTTATAAATGTTAAAATTTATGGGGGTGTATTTATGCCGGTGCCACAAGCGAGAGGTCCCGGGTTCAACTCCAAACAATGACTTGGGGAGAAACATCACTGTTTCCATTAGAATATGATCAAAACTTAACTTACATCCTCACATATAACTGTACGATCTATTCTAGGGGACTCGCAGAGATAGTGTGTCATCCTTTTTTATTTTACTACGGTACTACCTAGCATGGTCATTCACATTACTGCATAGGGAATAATTATCTTCCTTCTTTTGGCTAAACCATGCTAAGCGGGTGCGCCTCTACCGCTATACACTAAGGAGGTGTTTACTTCACTGCTAAAGTCACAGTTAGGTTAGTAAGACAGGTGAAGTAAACACGCACACTGCTTAAAAAGCCGCTTATTAAGCATACCACCCCCCCATGTATTAATTAAGCGGCACTTTAAGCTTTTTCAGTTTCCGAATTTACCCCTTGCCCTTAACCTATTGTTATCCCTGCCCCACCTCGACCCCAACCCCACCTACCCCGACCCCACCCTACCCTTACCCCACCTACCCTGACCCCACCCCCGACCCCACCCCTACCCCACCTCGACCCCACCCCTAACCCCTACCTACCCGACCCCCCTACCACTACCCCGACCCCACCCTACCCCTACCTTACCTGTCCGACCCCACCCTACCCCTACCTTACCTGTCCGACCCCACCCTACACGTACCCCACCTTACCCCTACCCTACCCCATTACCAGACACCCCCCTACCCTACCTAACTGACCCCCACCCTACCCTTACTCCACCTACACTACCCTTACCCCACCTACAATACCCTTACCCCACCTACCCTACCCCTACCCGACCCCACCTTACCCCTACCCTGACCCAACCCAACCCTACCCCTACCCGACCCCACCCTACCACTACCCTACCTACCCAATCCCACCCCTACCCTACTTACCCGACCACACACCTACCCTTACCCTACCTACCCCACCCCTTACCCACATCCCCGACCCCACCCTACCCTATCCGACCCTACCCCCTACCCTACCCCCTACCCCGCCTCAACCCCCACCCTACCTACCCGAACCCACCCTACCACTACCTACCCAACCCCACCCCTACCCTACCTACCCGACCCACCCTACCACTACCTGACCTCAATCACCCCACCCCTTACCCCACTATACCTAGGGTGGTGGGGTCAGGGTGGGGCCGATGTGATAGAGGCGCTAGGGGCAGGGTAGGTGTGGTGGGGTAGGGGTAGGGTTGGGTAGGGTAGGGGTAGGGGCGGGGTTGGGGTAAGGTAGGGCAAGGTGGGGTCGGGGTGGGGTCGATGTGGTAAGGGCCTATGGGGGTAGGGGCCTATGGGGTCGGGGGTAGGGTGGGGACAGGTTAGGGTGGGGTCGGGTAGGGGTAGGGTCGGGTAGGTAGGGTGGGGTCAGGTAGGTAGGGTAGGGGTAGGGGTAGGCGGTGGGTGGGGTCGGGGTAAGGTAGGGTGGGTAAGGGGTTAGGGGTATGGGTACACATATTATATTATATACTTGTGTTCATGAATGTTTGTGTGTATATATATGTATAGGGTTATTTTGGACATTTTAATGTTAAGCGGTGTTTTAAACCGTTTGAAGTAAACACGGTCTTACAACATTGTTTATTTTATGCGCCGCTTATTAACACGGGTCTTAATAAGCACCGTTTAATAACCGGTGAAGTAAACATGTCCTAAGTGTATCTCTAAGGACCTCTTCATCCATAGGATGATTAGAGAACTAAGTTGGTGATGTGATGAATTATTTTTGGGATTATGGTTGGGTGATTAAGATTATTTGGTGAAATTATTTGACAAAATAATCCGGAATTGAAATATGAATCCAGAGATTGACAAAAAATAAAAAAGTAGTTTCAACTTTTGGCTTATAAAAATTGAAATAACTATTATCAAGTGATAATGTCTGATTAAATTAAGCACTTAAAGACTTAAAGATGAAAGCAAATGAAAGCGTGATGTGAACAGTTTTTCACGTTTTCTATCAAATGAATTAAATAATATGAGTCCATATGAGAGTGCTATGAGTCCATAATTTTTTTGAATATTTTTCCTTGTAATGTACTGTAGAGTCTTAAACCCAAAGAGATTATTTGGTTACTAGCAATTATGTAAATAAAAAAATCTAAACAGAAAGGTGAAATGGAGGGGCTGCCGCTCCCCTCTTCTTATTTCTTCAATTTTTATTTTTAATTTTTTGGCTTTATTTTAATTTCAAGTTGAACGTAGGCGTTAATAATATCAACTTAAGGATGCTTACAAAGAAAGATGCGTTTAGACTTTCTCTCCCTTGGGTTGCGCCGCTAGGGTCGTTCCTCCGATTTCGATCTCTCTCTATCGTAGATTGGTTTTTACTTTTTTATTTATATTTTCATCAACTCGTCATCAAGCTTTGGTTGGGCGGGGGTCTTGTGTCTGGGGCGCGAAGCTCTCGTCGGAAGTTCCCGGCGAATCTGCTTGGCTGGATTTCGGCCGAGGAAGAAAGGAGGGGAAGGTTTCGAACCACGGGTTTTGCAAATGGATGATATCGTAAACAACTATAAGAAGATGGCAATTGGAGAGGAGGTTAACGAGCTTGACTTCGATGCGGAAGAGGCAGGGAGGAGATTTGGATGCGGCCGAGGAGCAGATGGGTTTCTCGGTGGTCAGTGCGGTGATTACTGACCAGAAAATCAATTTTCCGGTGTTTCAGGAGCTGTTGGCATCAATCTGGCATCCCGGGAAGGAAGTTGCAATCAAGGGAATTGGAGATAAAAGGTATCTTTTCACTTTTAATCATGTTTTGGATATGAATCGTGTATTGGAGGATGGGCCTTGATTGTTTGAAAGAGATTTAATTCTGTTGAAAGCTCTTCAACCAGATGACATTTCTTAAAAGTTGAATTTATTTGAGGCAGAATTTTGGGTACAGGTTCACAATGTTCCTCATAAATTTAGAAATCTGGGTTCTACTAGGAGAATTGGGAATTTTATTGGCTTCTTTATCAATTTTGTTAACAACCAATATGGTGGTAAATGGAAATCCTATCTGAGAATTAGAGTTTGTATGGATGTTAGGAAACCCCTGAAGAAGGGTACTACTCTGAAAAAGAAAGGAAAGGGACATTGGCTAGATTTCAAATATGAGAAACTACCCAATTTCTGTTCCATGTGTGAGGTGATTGGACACTCGGATAAATTTTGTCCTCTTAGATATGAGGAGGGGATTGTTCTCGAGAAATTATTTGGGGGTAGGGCTCAGGGCCGGTGGAGGGGTGAAGACCAGCCCTACATGAATTAATAAGTGGCTAGTCGATGATTCTTCAAGCTATGGGGAATTCGGGCAACAACGGAAGACTGATCTCGGGGACGAGTATTCGGCAGAGACTAGTGCTAATGTGTCAAAACAGGGGGCAAACGACATGGAAGAGGTGCCAGGCGAGACGAAGCGTAGGAGGATTTGGGAAGGAAAGCCAAAATGAGTCACAACTGGGGAGGGCATGGCGCTTGATGGACCAAAAAATGGGGAGGCGGTAGGTCAGGACTGCTAGACCCTCCGGTGCTACATGTGGTGTTCCTCATCAGGAGAACGAGTGCTTGTGTTTATTTTATTGTTTGTTTCTGTTGTTTTTTCCATTTTCAGACTGTTATGCTGTGCTTTTACTTTTTTATTTGCTGTAAGACTCTTGCATTAGATTTGGGGGATGAGAGGTCTACGGTAATCGTCGTTGACTTTATTTTGCCCAATTTCGATCTAGCGAGTTATATTGCTTTATAGGTGATTAACTTTGAGTCTTGACCAAGGGCGGATGGTTACTTGTGGTCATTTTTGTTTGCTGGTACCCCAGTTGAATTCTATTTTATCAATAGAAGTTCCCTTCTATATAAAAAAGGATGCTTACAAAGACTATACAAACTAGGCATTAGAAAGGCTTTATGTTACATATTGTTTTATTGATGACAAACAACTAGCTAGTGTTACTTTTGGAGTGATTGCAAAAAAAGAATTTAATTCGTGCTCTGAAACAAGTCGTAGACCTAGTTCTAGAATTGCCATGCGAATCCAAGATTGATTAAATTGGCTCACCTAAAAATGTCTTTTCTATCCATACAACTATTGTTTTTGTCTTTTCTAGAATTGTTTTGGGCCTTTGTTTAGGGCCAATTCTTCAGATAGCGGGTCAGGCCTTGCCCCTGCTTATGTCTTGAACTTTGTGTTGTTTAATAAAGTTAACAAATGTTCCCTGCCATTTACCCCACTGACTTAGGTGGTTCTCCTACTGGGTAAAAAGAAAATTAGAGAGATTTTTTGAGTAAGGAAACAATCAATGATCATACAAAGAAACACATTAAATAAGAGATCCTTCCCACAAAGCAAGTTTCCAAAATAAAATGAGCTGTTCAAAATTCAAATGTGATTTTCGTGCATCTCCTCTCACAAGGAATGTTGCTATAAGAAAAATGTGTATTTTAAAAGAAATAAAAAGAATATCTTTTAATACCTATAAGGAATTCATTTTTCTACAAAGAGGACCAAAATTATATATGGAGATCCGATCACATTAAGGAGAGCACATCAAGTCATGATCTATCACATTTAAGAGAATCGAGCTCAAAGGAATGAATCCATCTTCAATGGGAAAATACAACAAAGAATAGTTTGGTCAACAATGAAAGCTTCTAATTAATGTTTTAAGGCTTGGTAGCACTTGGACATCCCTATAAATAGCTAAGTTCATGCATACACAAGGATGCCCTAGAAGACCGAGTACCAACGACAATTCTATTAGTGGTTCTATTCATTGTATTCTATTGTATTAGGAATTTGGGATTAAGAAGAATATTTTAGAATGTTTTCCTCCGGTGGTTGGGGTGTGAAGTGAGAGCTTTGTTGTAAAGCTGAAAGACTCCTTACCCACAAGGTAATATAGTGAAAAGAAGGGGTGCTTATTTTGTAACTTGTTTAAAGGCTTTTAGTGAAAAGTTTTCAAATTCCTCAAAGAGAGGTCGCGGTTTTTTTTATCCCGGTTGAGCAAAGGGATTTTTACTCCTTAAATTCCTGTCTCCTTTAATTTATTTTTTTCCCCTTGCCCCACAATTGACCACCCTCATGTGTTTCAACCGGTTCATTACGATCCTTTAATTCTAAAGATTCAACTAATCTAGAACTTGAAGGATGTGTTCACCTCAAATGAATGAGTAATAGACAACTCTACACCCCAGTAATTTTGAAAGTACACATAGCAAATGACCTCTCCATTGAGTATACTAATATTCTCCGAAACATCCTTGTTTTATGATTATCATGAGGTGTTAAACTTCTTAGTTTGAGATTGACTAACACTTTGTAAAAATATGATGTAGACGACATGCCAATCTTATCATATACTATCAATATTTCAATATCAATCATACTACATATTTGACTCTCGCTACTTCAGCACCTTATGTTATGTCACTAAAACTCTCCTATACTCTATATACATATGTTAAACTGTAGATATAGTCTTAAAACTTATGCATGCATATATTCATTTTTAATCATATAACTTTACGAGTTTACGCACATGAAGATCTAGTCCTATAATAATTTAATTTGACCAATTGCAGTACGTTTCACTAAATGTACTATTTTCAATGAATAACCAACTTTGTCGATGACATTTTCAGCCTATTTTTACATGAAAATGTACTTTCCGATGGAAAAGTCCTTATATGGAAACTAGAACAACAACCCTCCCCACATAAGTCCCAAGTATTACAACTACAAAAATATAGGCAATAAAAAGTTTAATATGAAAAGTGTAATGTCGTAGATATATATTACTATCTCCATCCCACTAAGATTGGGACAAAGGAGAGTGATGCAGTTTTTAAGAAAAAGTAGAGTTCTGTAGTTGATAATGAATTGATACGGTGAGCATGACGCAAGAATGAATTAGAACTACATAAATATTACCAAATATGAGATAGGACAAATTTAGTAGGACGGACTGAAAAGGAAAATAAGAATTACAATGGGACGAAGGGAGTATAATAAGTAAATCATAATATTTAATGTCAACAAGTAATTGTGTACTAATAGTGATTACTTTTATAGGATATGTCACATGCATAATAAGTATATATGCATTCACTTGAACTGTTTTGAATCTTTGGTTATACTAGACTCCCACTTAAATTAACAAAATCAAACATGAACAAATTAGATCAAACTATACTTTAACAATAGTAAAATACACTAATATCTGACCTAACCAGAACCGATTAGACAGTGAGACCAAACATAACCAACATATCAGACCAGACCACACTTAAATAGCTAGGCCAAACACTAACTTTCAGTTATGGTGAAAACATATACTAACAACAATTTCAACTAACATGTACTTAGTGTTAAGTAGACAAATCTATTTCTAAGATTTGTCATTAAATATTATTTTCATTTTTAGTAGATAAAATAACATTGTGTCGATAACAAATGTACTTCGCCTTAGATAGATTAGCATTAATTAATTAACATGGTTAATGCAGAGTTTTTCCTTCACAAATTGTGTCGTATGTACACATTAACTGCATGCGTAAGGTAAGCACATCCTCAATGCCTCAACGTGAGGTTGAACTCGACTAAATGATGACACAGGTGCAAATCTGGATTGCACTGAGTTGAAAAGTATTTATGTTAAGTTAGACTTAAACGTTAGTGGGGTGAGCTAAATATGAAAAATAAAAAATCTTATACTAAAAAATTGAAATAAATTTAAGTCGCCCTAGACTTCAACTTACCATAGCCCTAACATAGATCACTACGATCAAAGATAATCACTAATAGCCGTTATATTTACTTGTGTTTAATATAAGTATTTATAAGTATTTTTTTAAGAAAAGAAGAGAAATCGGACAAATACCTTTAGAATGAGAGCTAAAGCATAAAACGTTGTGATGAACGGCTTTTGGGACCAAGAGGATGATGTTCTGACCATAATTTGAGTATAACTTATTGTAGAGAACTCGAAATCACTCGATTCAAATTTCATGTGAATGTTAACTCAATAAGGTACAAATGTTATGAAGACGTCATGACCAAAATATGAAAGAAACGAGACTCAATTAACCAATAACGTCAGATGTTTCTGGTGGGATTTCAGGATGCATACCTCTCAGTGTTTTATCCATATCTTTTGATTGGATGAATAAAATCACGTCATTCAAGTTTTGGTGGATAGAATGCTTCATTATCTACAACTCTGGTGAAGGAATCATGTCCAAATTCGTAGCGGAACATCCCCAAAATCCAAGGACAAAACGGGCATCAGGATTTGCACCAAACCCGCGCCGGTTTGTTGATTTTTGCATGGCACAAACCAGTAGCTTACCCGGTGCCGGGTAGGCCTTATAACTGGCGTCGGGTATGTCAAAATTTCAGATTTTCCAGCGCAATATGAAGAACCGGCACCGGGTAGGCTTGAAACCGATGCCGGGTAGGTCGATTTCCTGGTAAAACACAGCGATGTGCAAGCTTATTTTTTATAGGAAAACTTCATCTTCCTCAAGTGTGATCAAATATTGCTTCCATACCTTATTGTTGGGCTCGAATAGACTAAAAGATGCCATTCTTTAGCCTATATAAAACCCTCAATTCATCATTCAAAGACATTCCATTCCATAGATTAATTCCTAGTTTTTATAATTTGTTCTTGCTATTTTTCTTCAAGTTCTTGAGGAGGAAACTTCAACCTCCGAAATCATTGGTGTTTAGGTATTATATCCTTTGTAATTTCATGTTTCATTACATTTCAATATTGTATTGTGATTAATATGAGCATTAGAGGCTAATTTCTTAGCTAAGGCTAGGGATGAACCTCTGTGCCCACTAGGTGTTTGATAAAAGTTCTAAACCAATAAATTGTGATTTATCATTTAAATTTTGATTGTTTATGACTATGATGTACAACATAGAAGCATGTTAAATTTAGTTTATGTTTGCAATTAATGTTGAAGTCTAAACTATGAACATTAAAGGATAAACATATATAGTACCGAGAATAGAAACATATCCGGTCTTATATGATACGAGTATGATGTCTTGATATTCAACGGGGTTTTCGGTAGATGAATGTAAGCCGTAACGGGACTTACACGTAACGAAAACCACGCTCTCACTGCCTTAACCGGGGTTGAGAATATATTAGTGACATCGTATTCATAATTATTGGGAAAGAACTATTATTAAATAACTATTAAAGCATTTAGGTGAATCCCGATTGCCTTAGTAATTCTCATTATTGTTTAAATCAATCTCAAAGAACAAAGTTCCTGAAAAAATTATACCATTTATATTCTTTGCACTCAATACTCGACTTTATAATATCAACCATTTTCCTGTGGATCGACCCGGTGTTTACCGGTATTTTATTACTATATCGGCACT